TTTAGGTCACCAACTTTTCATAATTCATTTATTTTGAGTATGAATTTGTGAAGCTTTGTAAAATTAGCTAAAAATTTTGTAGTTTTTTTTTTTTTTTGGAACTTTAGACCTATAAGAATTTGCTAAAAGATTTAAATTAACCTTAATTTGGTCAATTATTATTTTTTTATAAATAAGAAAATTATCTCTTAGAAAAGCTGACAAAAACTGGAATACTACAAAACATTTCCTAATTTGATAATGTGTCATGTCACCAAGATGAAAAGTAACCTAATTTTAGAATAATTTGTTTTTAAAAACTAAAATAAAATAATCTCTTTTTAATACAGTCAAAACTGCATGGGGTCTTTGGAAGAATATTTTCCTATTTTATTTTACGAAATCAAAAGTTCATTTTGTAATATTTTTTTTTTATACCACTTCGAAGTTATTCTTGTTTATAAATAATGATTCTATTTCTGGTATTTTATTTTTTAATTTATATTTTGATACTTTCGACTTACTAAATTTTTTGAACTATAGTCAGAAATTTGTATTGAAAAAATTTCATTAGCAAACAGAGCAGAATGATAACTTTTTAAAAGTACATCGATCAAAATAGATGTTAAAGTAAATATACTAAAATTAACAATTTCAAAGTACACAGATCAAATTGACGTTTTAAAAGTACATGGACTAAAATGAACCTAAACCGAAGCTTTATACACCAAAGTAGTATTTCAAATATTCTAGAGAACTTATACCATCAACCCAATTTGGTTAGAAAATTATTTTCCAGATCTCAAATTCATGCTCTGCGCACGTCATAGTGTTACTCAGCCCAGAAAACAAACATCGACGGTAAGAATTCACTAGCATACGTGACATCAATTTGAAAAATAAAAAAGAAAACTTTTCAAGAAGACTCGGTTGATAACCCTAATTCTCCATTAATGAATTAAAAAGGAAAGAATCTATTAAGCAATGAGTCACATCACATAAGCATCCAATTTCTCTTACAAAATGGTGTATTAAATGGGAAAGTATATATTGGCCAACTGGTACACCTTTTCTGGTACGGCCACCACCATATGAACTACAAATAAATTGCAAAAATACTACTCATCCGAATTTATTCATTTTCTTCTCGTGGATTGGTTTAAATCTTATTCTAGGTCTCACTTTTTAGAGAATATATATTTGAGCTCGCCCAATTATTTTATTTCTTATTTCTTATTTTTAGAATTTAAATTAGTATACAAGTACTATTTTTATTCATGTTTTTATTTTTCTATCTACTTTTTAAAGTATTTTCATAAATGTTAAAATTTGAAAATGAAAACAAGTAGTTTTAAAAAATTTGCAGTTGCTTTTTAAATTTGACTAGGATACAAATGTATTTTTAGGAAATATCATAAATATACTAAAGAAATTGTGAACAAATAAGCATATTTTCAAAAATAGAAAACTAAAAACGAAATGGTTATCAGACAGGTCTAGACTTTTGGTTCTTATATTTTTAAGATTAGTTGGGTCATATACATACATACATGTAGAAATGAAAACACTACATGTATTATGTTTGGCATTGGGTTCGAAAACCAATTTTTTCTTTTGATTTCTTTTAAATATAATATAGAAATTTTAAGGTTAAAGATCAAATTTATTCTTATTAAAACTCATATATAGACCCAAACCCTATTATTAAACAACTCAAAATCATCTCGGTCTCATTAGATAAATTATGTCTTGAACCACTTGAGCTATGTTAATATCAACAAAATTTTGAAGTACTTGTCAATTTCCGCTTTTCATGCCAACTTGAGCATAATTCAACTAGTTAAGACGTCTATATTCGATGAAAAGATCCTGAGTTCGACCTACCCTTACATGGCACTTTAAAAAAAACATTGTCTTTTAATAGGATATAAGAAGTTTATCTGATAAAGAAAATGTGATAAGGGAGAACTCTTAGGAATAGAGTTGTAGAGAATTTGGATTTTGAAAGAAAAGGTTCTTGATCAATCTAGGTATGAAGTAGTCTTATAAAAAAGTGACATGTTGAGTAGTTAGGGAAAATTATGCTAAGTTTGAATTCGGTTTCTAACACCTATATAACCCCTATATGATCTTGAAAGGTTAGAGAGTTTAGTTTCTACTTGTTTTTTATCACGAAATGATCAAATTTGGTTGCGAAGTTTTGGACTAATTAAATATACCAACATGTGAAGGATCTGCAAAATAGAATTAGTACTCCAATGCTCAAGTCAGTACACAATTGGATCAATATTCGAGAGTATTGTTTTACGCATCTTGGGTGAGAGGCAGAGATCTATTTATAAAGGTAAGCTCCAGACAAAACTTCCAACAACGCTCCAACAGATCTCCGACTGTCCGAGAAATATGGTGCCTTATCGGAGAACATGTTCATTGCTTTTGCACTTGCAGGTGCTTTTGAAGATCAGCTCGTATTTAACAAAGGTTGGCGGAAAGGTGAAATATGGTTCCGCTCGCCTTCCCTCACCGAGCTACATGGACTTATCCATATGAAAAGATTCTTTTAGTTCTTCTAATCATCATAGTGATGGATGAATTATGATGTCGTCATGTGGCAGGTGATAATTCTCGCCTTCAAGAATATTTTATCCTTTTCAAATTTAAAAAAAGCAATGTATTGATCCTTGAGATTTGAATTTTACTTCTATTTAGTCTCTAGAATTAAAAGTGACAATTTTTCCTTAAATTTTGGATTTCACTTTTATTTGGTCATTGAATTGAATTAACCATTGATTATGACTTAATCCGAAGAGATAACCACACCACAGTTTAACATGTGTTGAGGAAATAAATTTTAAAAGGAACGAGATATTCTTTGTCAATGCCAAAAGCTACTCGCTTATTCTTGAACGTCTGTGAACCCAATGATTAATGACATGGTGGGTTAATAATCTAAGTGAGTATGTTAACTACTGCGTTAATTACCTTCCCATTAAATCAACTAGTAATCAACTTAATTCATAAATTAATAAAAGTCAAATTTAAATTTTATAGACCAAAAGTATCACTTTTAAAACTTTAGCTTTTAAATTTCAAGAACTAAATAAAAATCAAATTCAAATATTAACGACTTAATTTTTATTTTCATGATCAAGCCAAACAATAATATTGTATCTAAGTGAATTTATCTACCTCAAACATGTAAATTAGATCAAAATGCTCATCATAATAAAGTTGAACCCAAAATATATACATTTTTAGTACTTAAAGGTTCAAATTATCACATGATCACATGGTTGCAATATGATATTCAAAAATAATATGATAAAGATGCAACTTCTAAAGTTAGACTTTTCATTATTTTAGAAGAATATTAAAAGAAGAAGAAGAAGAGAAACATAATAATTGACATGTGTTGGAGAGATAAGAAAAGCCTTATTGATATTCAAACTTCAATCTCTTTCCAAAAAGGACTATTAAAAATAGATGTTAGCTTAGATAATGATATTTTTATAAAGTATATAGCAAAAACAAAACAAAGCAAAATGAAAAAGCACTTTCAACMCTACTCTCCCGACATAAAGGATGAATAAACCACCACTCAATCCAAAAGTTTAAGGGTGTGTTTGGGAGTGATCGATTTAAAAAAAAATTAAGCATATTTGATTTTCCACCCTCACCATCTAAATTATACCTTAAAAATTAATTTAGAGTGGTTTTAAGCTTTTCTAAAATCAATTTCTTAATTTGTCAAACATGATYAATGAAAAATGAAAAACGGAGTGATTTTAACCCTGTCAAAAATTACTCCAAAAAACACTATAAAATTAGGTAAATTTAATTCATGCCACCGTTAACAAAACTAGGAGGAATTGATGAATTAAGAGTGCCAAAATTAATAATACAATATGAGAATATGAGAGAGATAATAGAAATAGAGAGAGAATCTGAGTTGCAGTGGTTATGGCCACTACCATCAAAATTCAAAAACCCACCCACAAAGGTTTTCTTTTTCATATTTTTTATTTGTAGACAAATATTCCCACTAAGTATAGCTACACAATTATTGTAAACTCTTGGGAAAAAATAGAATACAATTTAACATATAATAAACAGAATAAAATTCTCTCTCTCTCTCTCTGTCTTCTTCTCTCTCTTGTGTTTGAGTGTGTGGGCAGATTAAAGGGAAAGGAGTGAGCAATTCATAGGCAGAACTTCCACATGAACCCTCTGGAAACATTCTCTTTCCAGCTTTTCATCACCACTTTCAAGGAAAACACAAACTCAGTTTTCATCTTCTCTCTCTAGAAAACCCCCCAAAAAAAATTAAAAAAAAAACCCTCAAAATTTGCCTTCTCCAATTCTCATCAATCTCATGGATACTGCTCAATGGCCACAGGTAACTTCTTCTTCTTCTTCTTCTTCTTCTTCTTCTTCTTCTTCTTCTTCTTCTTCTTCTTCTTTCTTTGTGATCTCTTCAGAAATTTAGCAACTTTTTCTTGTGGGGTTTGCTTTTTATTTATGGCCATGACAAAAACAAAACAAAACAAAGGACACTACCTTTTTTTTTTCTTCTTCTTTTTCTTTTGCTCCATGGAATTCTTTTTAATTTTTCTTTTGGGCTTCCTTTGATCTATCATCTGATCTCCCCTTCCCCCAAAATATTCAGTGACAAAAAAATTGATACTCTCTTCTAGCTGCACCATTTTGGCCTTTGTCCTTTCTCTTTTATGTGTGTGTTAAAAGAAAAAGGGGTTTTTTTCTCTCTCTCTCTCTTCTTTGGATCAGATAACCTTGAGAACTGTTAAAGGGGGCAGCTTTAATTTAGGTGGCTGTTGTTTTGTTATGTCTGTCTTTCTTCTACCTTAGAATAATTTTTCTCTCTCTCTCTCTCTCTCTCTATTTCTCACTTTTAGAGTTTAAATTCATTTCTTTCATCTTTGTTTGTGTTTAAATTTTTGCTTTTGTGGGTTTTTTCAGGAGATTGTGGTGAAACCCATTGAAGAAATAGTGGCAAACACATGCCCAAAACCAGGTGTTTCAGTTTTAGAGAGGAAAATTAGACCCCACAAAGAACAAGCTTTGAATTGTCCTAGGTGCAATTCAACCAACACAAAATTCTGTTATTACAATAATTATAGCCTCACACAGCCAAGATATTTCTGCAAAACTTGTAGAAGGTATTGGACTGAAGGAGGATCCCTTCGAAACATTCCTGTTGGAGGAGGTTCAAGGAAGAACAAGAGACCCTCTTCATCTTCATCCACAATATCTTCTTCCAATTCTGCCCCTACTCTTCCTAACAAAATCCCTGATTTGCCCCATCAAAACCCTAAAAGTACAACCCTAAACCCTCAAGATCTCAACTTGGCTTTCCCATCATCCTCTCACCACCATCAACAAGATCATTTTAGCTCCTCCAATAATAATCTCTCCGAGATCGTCGTCAGTGGCAACCCTCCGATTGGTGCCCCGCCGTCGTCGTCGCAGCAGCTTTCGGCTATGGAGCTTCTCACCGGGATGGCGAACTCTAGGGGGTTGAATTGTTTCATGCCAATGCCTGTCCCTGATCCTGCCTCCGTTTACACGGCGGGGTTTCCCGATCTCCATGATCAGTTCAAGCCGAGCCTCGGGTTCTCTCTCGATGGCTATGGCGTCGTCCCGGCCGAGGCTAGCAATGGCGGGGGAAGGCTTTTGCAGCTGCCATTTGAGGATTTGAAGCAAGGCTCTAATGGAGGAGTTGAGGAAGGGAAAGGTCAGCAAGGAGATTCAAGTGGGTATTGGACTGGGATGTTGGGAGGAGGATCATGGTAAAAATTCTAAGGCTATAAAAATCACAATTCCACATTTTGGATCATTTTCAATCCTTTTTTTTTCTCCTTAATTCTTGTGTCCAAATTGTTTTTCTCCCTCAATTTCAGTCATCAAACTGATCTATTTCTTTTCGTCAATGGATCGTTGTTTAACCCATCTTTTTATCTCGTTCTTTTCATTAAGATTCATTGACAAAATGATCGGCTTTGAAAAAGAAAAATCAATCAGTTCAATGACGGAATTGATGTATAAAAACAATTTAGAAACAAGAATAAAGTTTTAGTATAACATGAACCCTCCTTTTCTTTCAAACCCTAGTTTAGTAGATCAATATAAATAGTTTCTCAAGTTTAATTTAATTTTCTCCTTGTGGGTGACTTTGGTTTGAAATCCTTTTTTTTTCATTACTAAACTGATAGCACACTATGAATCTATCTCTCTTAAGTTTTTGCTGAGTGATTAAAAGAAAAGGGAAATTTGAGCCCATTTTTCTGTGACATTATATTATTTAGATTAATTATTAGTTTCTTTTCTTTTATCTTTATAATATAAATATAAGAAGATGGTGAATAATAATTGTTTCAACTTGGAAGAAAGGCTGTTTGAATTGTTTCAATTTTGGGTCACAGGTAAAAGAAAAAGTTCTGAAATCTTCCACATGTTGGATTCTTTGCAAACCCCCTTCTTTTTCCTTTTTACTTTCTTTCTTTTTGGCTAAGTGAAATGTTTACAGAAGCATTCTGACAATCCTTAGCCTAAGTTTTCTCTTGCTTCTACAAAGGAACACATATAAAAATTTTAAAAAAAGGGCATAAGACATTGATTCATTAGAGAACTCTCTCTTGTTAGTGCTAAACAAAATACTAGCTTGAAGCTGGGTCATGCATGAAATGGAGAGAAGGGGCCAGTTATATTATTTTTTTTTTATCGGTACGCGGACATGAACATGGTTGAATTGGTCCAGACATTACTTAATACTATTTTCCTAAAAATTTTAGTATTCAAATTGTTGATCGAAAACATCGTACATGAAAATAATAATGCATCAAACATCACATGGGTGTCATGTCCATTTCAATGTCTCTCTTCTTTATTGTGTTTGATCCCAAAGATTTTGGGAATCTAGCTCTTTCTCCAATTGAAATGTCTCCAATCTAGCTCATTCGGGGAAGGGAGAAATGTTCTCTTTTAAAAAGAAAGGGTTAAGTCTCCAATTGAAATGTCTTTAGTGGGAAGATTAAAATTAAAGGTCATCTTTTGAAAAAGAAGCTAGCTAGTTAGGTTATGCTAGTAGGGCACCATATATATATATATATATAAATCTATTGTATATTTCTAATTCTCTATATTTTTTCTTAATAAAAAAATAAAGAATCTCTCTATTTCACCCAAGAGATGGAGCAAGTTGTCTACTTTTGAATAGAAAGATCCCATCAATAATTATAATCTTCTTTCTAGTTTAGATTAGAGTCGTTAATAATCTAGTAATAGGGAACCAACATGATCTCCGATCCATATCAAGTAGGGGTTATAAGCAACGATCCATTGTGTATGTATACGTACGGGGACAATGTGCATACCCCTGGGCCTTTATGCCCTTATACCTGAGAAGTATGCGCACTGTTCCCATATTCGTATATACGCAAGAAGTCATTGCTTGGCGGAATTACATTTGATGTGACTTGAACCAAGACTTCAAGGATATTTCTCGAGACTCCAAGCCACCCAAGTTAATTATCCCTTGGAGACTCAGTCTTAATAATATATGCTCAGTCATAATTGTTAGTATTCCTCGCAATATTTTTCAAGTCTTTACCTTAATTTTAGTCATTGATTGTGAGAGGGAGAGACACCTGTGTGTTTGTATATGAGAGAGAAAGTAAAGAAAAATAATAGTCACCTGTACGTACTATATCCTTTATATTTTTTTCTCTCGAGACCTAAATACATCTAAGCTACCAAACTACTTTCCAGACATAGAATACTCGTAAGAGGGAGCGTTAGTATTTTCCATGGACAAGAAAATCTCTTCTTTCATTTTAGGGTATGGATATGGACATTATGCATGTGATTTTAAAAAGGTTGGTGAATTTGATAGAAAGGATACAAAAATAATAAATGTAAGAGTACAAAAGCCCATGATATTAAATACTAAAGTACATAAATTAAAGTTGGTTATTTTACATTTATACCTTATTCTAAAAAAAGATGGCTATTGCTATCATATGTTATATATATGTATGTATATATAATGGTACAAGTGCATCAGACGTACGAGTTTTTGCCATTGTTTAACAATGCATTTCTGCCATGCCCATGATGCAATATTACAGTTTCACTTCTTTCGGTTTTTTCTTTCTTTTTTTTTAATCACTCTCTCATTTTCAAATAAGAGAAGAATTAAAAAAAAAATCCCTAAATTTTATTGTCCTCTCTAACATTTGGTATGCATCCCAAATGAAAGTTAAAAACATTATGTCATCCATTAAGAGACTTTGTGTTCTATTACATTTGGTATGCATGTGTGTAACTAGCTTGGTCTATCCTCACCCATCTATTTTGCCATTTTAGTTTGTCTAGTTGGCCATTTATTTGTTGTTTATTTTGCCACGTTGTGTCAAATCAATTCAACGTTCATCTTGCTGGCAGGTCGAGAAATATATAACCATAGAGTTTTATCGTGTATTTTTAATGCGTAGCAAAAATATTTGTCATATTTGCAAATCTAGTAGCAACTTTCTGATAGATTTTTGTTTTTGTTTTTGTTATTCTTATTTTATTCTTATTAATTATTTCTAGAAATTGATATACCTAATATGAAGTATATCACTAATATATTTGATATTAGGTATATCAATCCTATAACTCAATATTACAAATTATATAACAGATATGTCGTATATCAATCACACTAAACATATGATATAATTTCATTTGTGTATTTAATTGATAAACCTTCTCCCAATTGAAGCATTGGTTCAGGTAATATTCGAGTTTCTTATTGATATATTAAGTATATCAATGATATACTTTGGTATATCACTGATAAATCTTGTTCCTTGAATGGAAGAAAGTAACATTGCAAGTTTTTAATTAATATATCAAATATATTAATGATATATTGAACATAAAGTATATTAATCACATATAATACATATGTGACTGATATACTTATATAGCACTAATAAATTTTTTTTGAGTTGAAGATCCTGGTTTAAGTAACGTTTGTAGGTTTTTTTTGGGTGTATATCAATTATATAACTAATATATTGAATACTAATTAAGTATATCACTAATATATATCAATCACACTAAATATATAAATGACGAAGATATATCAATCACACTAAATATATGAATGACGACGTAATATACTTCATATTAGGTACATCATTGATTAATCTCCTTTAGCTAAGTAACATTGTAGATTACTTATTGATATATAAAGTAAAACCAACGCCATACTTTATTTCAGGTATACTACGTAATATAACAATATACTCACACTAATTACATCAATGATATACTTTATTTATTTAGATATCACTTATGTAACTAATATATATAATATGAAAGTATATTATCGATATACTTGATATATTAGATATATCAACATGGAAGTTTTTTCTCATATTTAAAAAAGTGATCAGATTAATCATTTTTTCCATTTTTTTTATTTTGTATTGAGTTGGGCCATCATTATTTTTTTATATATTTGCAAATCATAAAAATAGTTGTTATGTTTACAACTTTCCATTAATTTTTTTTTAAGCACCCTAATTTATCTCTGTCGTTAGTAAACAAAAAAGACAATGGGCCAACATTTAAACATAATTCAGCGATAAATGACAGCGTCAAAAGTTTCCCATGGATGAGTCAACCAAACATATTTTAATGTCATAATCCAAAAACCAATTAACATGGTGTCTACACGTAAAAGTCTCATTTGTTAGGTCTTCAACATGCACCATCTTAAATAGAGAGCAGCACAAGACTCTTAAATAACAAGAATTTAAAAATCAATTAACAAATAATTCGACACTCTTAAAACAAACAATGAGTTCATTAACATGGTACTTGAATTAGAGATATTAATTCTGCTAACCTGAACATAATTGATATGTTTAAAAAGGGAAAAAAAGATTAATAGAGCATGAAAATTGGACATTTACAATTTAGAGTTACATCGACAACCGTTTGAATCAACTCAATAGACCTTTCAGTGTTCGGGTCACCTTACATGCACCTTAACTAATTTTACGAGTCAATGACTTCAACATCATTTGATCGTCCAGCACTCGTCGTATTAAGGAGCCGCGGTAGGTCTGCAGTGGACAGTTTAAAAGCTGATTGCAGCGTCACCATCATCAGAGCTTACTCCATCTATGCTTTCAACCAATCTCCGCTTTGCAGATTTGGTCCTATAACACCACAATTCAAAAGCATCTGTTAAGTCAGGATATTGCATTTCCTCTGCTTTCATCCAGTCTGCCAAGATAAATGCTTGGTCATTTGAAGGCAATGCAAGTACCATCGAGACAATTGCCCCCTCGATGTTCAAGCACAGCTCGTCGTCCATCTTATAACGAAAATCTGTCTCTGCCACGCACTTTGAATCCAGCAGAGACTTCATCTTCCTTATATATGGAAGCCAGAATTTAAGCAGTGACAATCGGTACGGTGCAGGAAGAATCACAGTGCCATAGCCAACAGCTTCCAAGGCCTTGTTGGTCATCTCAATCAGCTTAACTTTCAAACCCCACATTAAAGAATTCAACTTTTCGTCTTCGATTACCTTCAATATGTTACCAGATATCTCAATCCAGTAGGAAACGAAGTCTTTCATTAAATTCATCTTAGGAAGTAAAGTACAAATCCATTCAAGATCAGATAATGTCCTCAATATTTTGTCTTCGTTTGCCTGAGATATAAGGCTAGATTCCAAAAGTAGGGAAGATAGTTCCCTCTCAAACGATGTAGAAGTTTTTGAAAAACCCATTCTTAACACTGATTTAACTTCATCATCAGTTATTATCGACAATGTGTCAGGATCTGCCCTTAACATGTAGTCAACTTGCTCTTGGGCAGATCTTTGAAGCTCATCTCCAAATGGGGCACATGGTCTGTTAATTGACAGGGCAAAGCGGAGTGCTGAAACAAAAACATCTTTTGCGGGGCTCAAATCTGCAAATTTGACACTGGGTGGAACGGACATTGCTTTAGATATAGAAGAGACCCTTTTTGGAGTCTGCCTTCAAGATCTATTAGCTCTCTACATGTACTTCAAAGATAGTTCCAAAATCAGGATAAGGGTGAAGTACATCAATAGCAAATCAAGCAGAGCCCAACGTGTCCAAAATTCATTTTGTAGAAGGATGAAATCTCAGTTTAACATTGTCAGAGTAACAATCCACGGAGCGGGTAAGGACTGAAGACAATTCTATAAGCTCATGAATCAGCAATTTGCCTGAGTCTCATGGACTAAAGGAGTTTGAGTGGCTATGTCCTCCCCACTCATTTTTTGCAACAACTATAGCCATGTTGTTAAGTTTACAGTAGCTGGATGCTTCAGCTTTGTCCATTTTAAGGGGCGCAAAGTCAATATCCATGTTAAATGCAGTTGAAACAATGGAACTGCAAAATGCCTTCCAGCCCCAAGCAAGCGGCTTATATCAACCAGAAAAGAATCTGAAAAAGCACAAAAATTAGGATCTTATATGTCAATTTCCCTTGTGTATGCAATCCTGGAATAGAACTCTTTGAGTTATATAATTGAGCATAGTTATCAAGAGTTAAGTAGAACAATTCCATATTACAATTCATAAAAGATGTTTTCATAATTCAGCAGCTTCTAATAAATATCAATTAAACCAATAGCCCATTATCACAACTTACTACGACTAATAATCCTCATTTAGAAGTAAAAAATAACAAAAAGTGGGGTTTAAAAAATGATATTTTACAGTTGCTATAAGTCATAATGTTGTTAGTCATCCATTTCAAAGAAGATAGTTTGCAAAAACTTTTATTTTAAAGTTTGGGAAACTTATAGTTACAGCATCGAAGAAAGGTATTAGCAACTCACACTACCCCTTTAAAATAGTTGTCAAAAGTTCGTCGAACATTATCCAAGTTATTTCTTGAAAAATGAAGTGGTCTCCTAAGCAAAAGAAGCCAATTCTGATCATGCAAAAATATTATCAGTTTATAATTTTTTGGAAAATATATTCCATTTGAATTCACTTAACGGAGTATTAGTTGGAAATGAGAGAAACCATCAACATGGTAATATTAGGATCAACAAGGAAATCGATAAATTCTCCTTGCCTTGAAAACTAAAAAAATTTGGTGTGTGTGTGATTGTACACAATCTCACACACATACACAGAGCCCAAAAATATTATTTATACATACATACGTGTGTAAGAAAATTCGCTCGTGTCCATCCATACACACACATACATAACTGATAACACAAATACACCTGGAGAGCACCAATATTGTAATTTTAGAATTCAAAAAATTGAAGACAATTTCCTTGCTAAAAGAGTTAAGAAAATTGTTGAACTCACCAAATTGGATTGAAAAGAAACCAGAAAAACCATCAATAGTAACAATAGTATTAAATTATGAAGAACATTTCTTTAACCTCAAAAATGTAAGAAAATCCTTGTGTGCATACATGTGTGTGTATATAAATATTAAAAAACTCGAAAATTTGTTACGTGTGCGCGTGCAAGCATGTGTGTAGGGCTACTCACAAATTGTGTGGTTCATTTGAAGGTAATTAAAGGTAGACCAAAATAGTTACTTTAGGCTGTGTAAAATTATAAAATGAAGTTGGATTGGACCGAGTCCTCTGTTTTGATAAATAAGTAAAGTTACAAAAGAAACACAAGAATGTTTACTTATATTGGCCAGCTGTGTAGTTTACAGCCATTTCGAAATAAAATCCAACCCAGTTAGCTTTGGGGTGTAACAATAGTACTAATTTAATACCAACAAATTACACTTCATTGAAGCAATTTATCAAACAGTGTACTTACTACTTGGCAACAAAATTTCCAAGCAAAAACTAAGCTTCAAATATATAGCATTTCAACAAGAATAACCCACAAAGCAGTAGAAAGCGCGCATAAACCAACACAAATTAAACACATAAAGCAGCTGAAACAATTAAATGGGAGAACAGGCTAAATTAGCCACCGGGGGACTTTCATTCTCTAGATAAATACAATAATTGTGGAACAAAAGTCATAAAAACTTTTTATCTAATCCAAAAAGAACAAACATCCTTAAACTATGTCAAAAATCAGTGTGCAAAGCTGAGATGCAAGAGGGGAAAGTTTGACCAACCCTAACAGAGGATGAGAAATCAGTCGTGCATTTGAACCCATAAGAAGACTAGCGTTTAGATTGCGGTAGGACAAGGAATAAGATTGAGGTCAAACTAAATCAAATTTCGGTGATAAAATGAAATCGAAAAAGAAACTACAGGGGAATAGCAGAAACAGCAGAACATGAGAATCATAGAACAAGTTCAAAGGAAGAGCGCGTAGAAAAAAAAAACATGTAAAGATACAGTAAACAGTATAGAACAGAGATACATACAGAAAGCGGGGAAAACGAGAATTTAGTGTAAGAGATCAGAAATATAGCGAAGTACCGTTCTAATACTCTTCCAATTCTGCAAATTTTCCTCTGAATCAAAGCAGAAGAGAAGAAATTGAAATCAAGAATACTAATTGTTGCAGATTATCGTTCTGCGGAGAAGAGAATAAGAACTGCCTGAGCCCTCGACGGAGGAGTTCATCTACTTTCTTTATTTATTTTATTTTCTTCCATCAAATTGTAGGTTTAAAACTAAAATACTATTTTCACAAATGAAATTTAGATTTCTTACTTTGAAAATGTCGATTTTAGTACTGTAATTTTAAGAAGGGATTAATTTTTAGTCTTGTTTATAAAATAAAATTTGAACACAAAATTTATGAAAAATTAAAATCCTATATTATAATTTATTCAGTGAAGTAATTTATGAAAAATTAAAATCCTATATTATAATTTATTCAGTGAAGTTATTTGTTAAAATTATGATCAAAAGAAATGAGATAAAAAATAGATAAATAGATATTTTCTAAAGTAAAAAGGTTAATATAAAAAAAATTAAAAGTCCAAAGATCAAAATAGATGTTTAAAGAAAATTGAGACCAACCTAATATTTCGGATATATACTTGCCAATAAATATAGATTATAAAACCACAAGTGTTAACTTTAGCAAAGAAATCTACTCAGAAGTTACTATATGTTGGGTGTATAAATGAAGTTAATTAGGGATGTAAACATAGCTTAAAAAAATTAAAAAAAAGGAAAAAAACTAGTTGCGTTACAAATTTTGCTCTCTTGAGCAAAATTTCTGATTAGTCGTATGATTTGAGTTTAATTTTGATTTGGTAAGTTCTAAAAATTTTAAATAGATCTGGTAAAATTCACAAAAATACTTGATTTTTATTTTCTTCAATTTACTTAACTTTATGTTTTCTATATGGGTGACTATACTATGATTTAGGTCCAAAAAAATATATATATAGTGGATTTTTAGGTGGGTAAAAAATAGTTCACAGATGATTTTTGAAGTTAAATCAAACTATCGGGATCCTATTGAAGCTTTTAAAATCATAGAGACTAGATTGGAACTATATCTGAACTATGACAACCAAATTTATAATTTAACCAACTTAAAATTGGAAAAATATTGAACATATAAGTAAATAACAAACATTTTGTAGGACCTGAGACATTTTGGGAGAAACTAAAAGAAAAACTAAGTAGGCATAAATGCAAAGTGAAAAATATTGTACAACTATAAAAGAAATATAAAGAAATTCATATTCATAGAAGATTTAAAGATGATCGACYTGAGTAGAACTCAATTAATAAATGTATTATTTACTTTCTAAAAGCTTAGAAGTTCAAATCTTCTATCCCGTTGCAGTCAAGATTTTAAATGTCGATGGACATATCGATGCCTCGATTTCATGGAAATATCGATAAAAGTGAGAAAAATTAAGAAAATTGTAAAAAATATTTAAATGAAGAAATAAACATTTTCCTATTTATAAATTAGTTAAAAATAATTAATCTTAATATTATGTACATGTTAGTGACATTTTGTTCATATTTGTCATATTTTGTCGATTTTCTTGTATTTATCGTTCATGTCGATGTCGAATCCATAAAAACATGGATATGTCGATGGAAATGTCAACATGTCGACGGATATTTAAAACAATGATGGCAGTATTAAAAATAAAAAGCGAAAAGGGAACGGCAAGATGTGATTATGTATATAGAATTAACCATGGTCAAGCTATTAGTTAAGTGATAGGTCACTTCAAGATTGCCAATTCAGAGTTGTTAAAAGGAAAAATATTCGCCAATATAAGAAAGGAAATAATTTTAGGTATGTCATGGGAGTACTGGATTGATATGAATAATGATAAAGCATGGGTCACCTTAGGAATCTTTTGAGAATTTGCCTTGGTTGTATAAATTTGTTGATATAAAAAAACGTCTAGATATAATAAYGAATATTGAACTAGACAAGACATCGTGTCAATTTAATCTCAAAATTTCAAAAAGTTGTAATAACATTTTTGAACTTTCGATTTCGATTCTAATACATTCTTGCAAGCAATGTCGTTATTTATGTGTTGAATGTGAGACATTGACTAGATGAACATATGATAATATAACATAACATAAGGAGTAAAAATTTGCTTGTTCCAGCAATTTTTTCCCCTATCTGTCATTATTTTATTCAACTAGCCTACTCTTTTGTGTCACGTCATGTCAAATTATCACTTGATCGTTAGTCCAATCACTATACTACATTAGCATTATTTAACTTACGATGTTAACAACAATAACTTATTAGAATCAAATTCGAAAAAGCTAATACAATAGATAATTTGGAAGTTAAAGATATCTCTACTTCCTTTTGATCGCAGTTAGAATCTTTCCCCAATTATATTTATGAAAATCAAACTCGATAACATAATTAAAGTTTTCAAAAATAAAAAAGAAATTAAGTAGACAAAACTCCCAAATTTTGGGAGACTAAATTTGTAATCTCACCAATGTTATTGATTGTAGGGATTAAAATAGATTGAAACCAAAAATGTTTACTACTACGACGGGTTTCGCCGGCGACAAAATTACGAGCATGCCCATCGCTCGTGGCGCGAGGGAGGAATGGCAAATTGGGTAATTTAAAAGAACCGGCAGGGGCATTATCGTCAACTGTGAAATCGATCGGTGATTTATGTGGATTGATCGAGAGGGAGGGGGGAGGATCAATCTCTGAGGAATCTCGGAAGGGAGAGGGAAGAGAAAAAACAAAACCCAAATTCTTGCATTCATTCATGTCCTTGCCGGATATGGTTGATGTTGCTGATAAATTAGCCTATTTCCAAGCGATTACGGGCTTAGAAGATCCTGATATATGCACCGATATCCTTGCCGCCCACGGTTGGGACCTCGAGCGCGCTGTTTCTTCTTTTACTGCCACCAATTCGGAATCCTCTGCTTCTGCCGCCGCCGATTATGGTGGGGGAAACGCCCATTTTGACCCTGCACCGCGCCGATTCCTCGAGAGATCGGAATTGCACGAGAATGCTGCACCGGCACCGGCCCCGGCCCCGGCCGCTGGCTTGGCGTGGAAGATCATTACGCTTCCGATTTCTGTGATTTCTGGTAGTTTAGGGCTGGTTTCGGGTGCTGTTAGTCTCGGGTTATGGGCTGCTGGGGGTATACTCTCCTATTCTCTTGGAGTCATTGGTTTGGGGTCTGGGTCTGGTTCTGGGCGAAACGCTGAATCGTCGGCTCGGTTGGTTTCGGTGTCTGCTGCGGCTTCGGAAGCTATTGATTTCGTGTCGGCGTTTGAGAGGGATTATGGGAGTACGAGGCCGAATTTTGTGGGGGAGGGGTTCATGGACGCGTTGCAGCGTTCGAGAAACGCATTTAAGCTCTTGTTTGTTTACCTGCACTCTCCTGATCATCCGGATACGCCATTTTTCTGCGACAGAACCTTGTGTTCGGAGACTATTGCAGCGTTTTTGAACGAGAATTTTGTTTCGTGGGGAGGGAGCATTCGTGCTAGTGAAGGTTTTAAGATGAGTAATAGCTTGAAAGCATCGAGATACCCTTTTTGTGCTGTGGTTATGGCAGCAACAAATCAGAGGATTGCGCTGCTTCAGCAGGTATTCATATTTATAGCTTTTTTATTCAAACTTCTCAATTTCATCACTACGTCTAACATGTCTAGTTTTCGAGGTCATTCATTTTTGTAAGGACGCTAATATCATTGAATAGGTGAAATTACAAAAGAGGGGAGGAAGCCTCAATCATTGTGGTTATGCTGAAAGGTTACTGAGTCTGCTGGTCACACTAAATTCTGGCATGTGATGTTGAATTCCACATTATGAACGACCTTTCCATTTGGAAATTGATTACCTTGCCTGAGATTGCTACTAGCCATAGTCCATACAATAAAAAACAGCTTATTTAGTCATAGGTTGTACAGTTGGAACTTGTAAGAGCCCTTCTCAACCAGTGGTCATGGTATAAAACCATGTGGGACTATCTACTTGATGTGTCAAATTTCTTACATGTTTTAACTATCAAATATTGTAGGGTGAACTGTGAAGTATTATCATCTGCAGCAAATTTGGTTAGCATTGGATGGATGATTTCTGGTTAAAATTTGAGGAGAGTGTTTTATTTCCTTATCTCTCCCTCCCTCCTTCCTATGTTCTACTAGGCAGTTCAAACCTGAACTTTTTGGCTGCCATTTGGTGGATTTGTTGTTCCCTCTAAATTTGATGTATCATGATCAAAAGTATTATATATCTAATTGGTTTAATTATGCCCCTCTTGTTTTTCACGATGAATGACGTGGCTTAGCCAACTCAAGCATAGCTCAATTGGTTAAGGCATATATATCTTTGACCAAAAGGTTATTAGAGGTCCAAATCCCACGTGTTGCTGAACTAAATAAAAAAGGTGGTTTAAGTTTTCTTCTGAAATAAATATCTCATTGGATATGTTTAAAATGTTTGAAGTTCTAAAAAGGAGGCGTTGAAGTTTTACTTCATGAAATTTGAAGGATGACCTAATGGTTTTTGTGCGTTCATACCTATATGTACACTTCATCCATGTTAACACATCTTGCTCAATAGCCTGTGCTATTCTTATAATTGGCACAATTGTAGACTACATGAATGTTGAGCTATTTCTTTGAATGTGAGTGGCAATGATTCCTAGAAAGATGTAGATGGATGGATGGATTATGGAATGGTCTCAAGTCAGATTTCTGTGAGGGTACAATCCTGTTTGGGTTTTGTATTCTATGTTTGAAGCTCCAGTTACACTTTATTTGATTGTGAGAAGCATGAAAGTTTTCTGTTGTATTTTGTTTATTTATTCTTAAATTAAGAGGAAAGCTTGAGTTAGAAAATTTGTTAGTGAGGACTTCTCAACGTTAGTTAATAATGTGGCTTTAGCGGACTTTTTTCTTCTTAACAATTCTAGAAGTTTATTTCCCACCCCTCCAAATTAAGGGTTCCCAAACCTTCAAAATGTTTGAAATAGCCAAATCGAGTAGGATTCCCTTCCTGGGAACTACTTTAAAGAAGATGTTGACTCAGTGGTTAAGATCTATGGATCTCTGCATTGTTCCAATACCATCAAAGGGAAGAAAGGAAAGTGTCTAGAAGAAGAAATAGTGGCTTCAAAGAGTTGATAAACTTCTGTTATCCCAGTAATAAAGATAAAAAGGAATTCTCAAGGAAGGGAGAAGCCTGGGTCTCCATGCTTATTCTCAGTTGGAACTGAAGAGGATTGGTGTGATTGCTTTGGAAAAGAGGATTCTGATAGAAAATGTTATCCTAAAGCAAGTCCCTACTTCATTGCTGAAATGAGTGAGATTGATTTGTTCTTCAAAATTATATGGAACTCTAGAGATGTGGGGTGCTTTTGGTAGCATTCCAATTTGAAATAGCACTACTTACTCTATCTTGTAGATCCGATAGAAGGTTCTTTTTCCTTGTCCATTCCAGTCATTTTGGTTAAGGGTTTCTGTTTTCAGCTTATGGGTTGTCCATTGAAGCCCTCTCCTATTGGTTAAGGGATTTTGTTTTTGGCTTATTTGCATGTTCAACCCTTCAAGTCTCATCTAAGGAATGGCTTCTAGAGAGTGCTGGAGGACCTTGGTGGGCTGTGAGCTGGTTATTGGGTTTTTCGTGGAGGCTTTCATGTTTCCATGTCATCTTGGGAGAAATCACAAGGCAAGGTCACTTAGATGTAGCTTCAATGAATTTCTTATGTCTTGGGTATGCCCTTTGATGGTAACCCTAACAATTTAAGACTTCTAGAACCCCATTATTGAAAGATTAGAGTAGAAGTTGATGAAGTGGAAAAACTTTTGCCTATATGCTAAGCCAAGCAGTGTGATCTAGCTTTCCTACTTCCTTTATGTCTATCTTTCCGATCCTTAAAAATGGCACTGTTGATAGAGAGAAAGATAAAGACTTTTGTTGTGGGAAGGCAATAAAGAAAGAAGGTTGTTTCATCTAGAGAATTGGAATATCATCTCACAGCCCTTGGAAAGTGGCGGTGTAGGTGTTGGTAACATAAGTCAAAGAAGAAAAACACTAGCCATAAAATGGCTTTTGAAATTTCCATGTGAAACTAGTGAGTTACGGCATCAAAGTAGCTAGCATTCATGGGAAAAAAGGGGGAATGGATGCTTTTTTTACCACAGGAAGAAAATCAGGTAGCTATAGAGTCCATGGTGGATCATCAGCAAGCTTAATGACAGTTTGCTGAACTTTATCACCAGAATCGAGGTGGGAATGGTGAGAGAACCTTCTTTTAAAATGATTCGTGTGTGGATGATCAAGCTCTTTGCTGCAAATTTCCAAGCATTATAAAGAGATGCAATGCTGCAGGAACTGGGGGAGGAAAATACCAATTCATGGTGGATTTTGGCTAGAAGAAACCTACATGATGATGGGTGAAAGAGTTTTTGGAGCTCCAGCACTTGGTGGATAATTGCAGCTGACAAGGGCACAAGATAGACAGAAAAGTTTAAGAGTCTTAACAAATCAGGTACCTTGGTTAAATCTATCTTCAGTGAACTATTAGGCTCATCTTCATTGCTTAATGAGGAACTAGTGGCTGCTTTATGGAAGACAAAGATGCCAATGTCAGATTTCTGATTTGGGCTCTATTTTGGGGCACTCAATACAGCACAGAGAAACAATAGTATCATTTCCATGAGGGCTGGAATTCTTATTTAGAGAGGAGTTAAAGTTTTGTTGTTGAAGACATGCACTCATGCACAACAATCTAATGCATTTATTCCAATATTGGTGGTTTGGAGTTTCCAATAGAAAAATGGTGATGTTAAAGGTTTGGAAAGGGAAATCTTGATAGTTTGCAATTTAAGGAGTATATTTGTAGGCATATGTTCTCCTATCTTTTGGGTAGTTTTTTAGTGATAATCTTCAAAGGAGATGTTATTTTTACAAGCTCTATTCTCCCATTCAATGGGCAATGAGGCTTTTGTTTATTACATCTGGTTCTGCACGTTTTGGAACTCCAGCATTGGTGGAACATAACGTCCATGGGCATTAAAACTTGGATTTGATAAGCAGTTTTGACAGACTTTCCATTTCATTTTGATTTTTGACATCAGATTTTTTTCCCTCTCAATGCAGGTTGAGGGACCAAAAACAGCCGAAGAAATGTTAGTGATTCTACAGAGAGTCCTTGAAGAAAGTGCTCCTGTTTTGGTTTCAGCAAGGCTTGATGCAGAAGAAAGAAGAAATAACATGCGTTTGAGGGAGGAACAAGATGCTGCTTACAGAGCAGCACTTGAAGCAGATCAAGTATGCTACTTTCTGACTCTGCTTTCTCATCGGTCTAAATTTCATCATTTTCTCTCCCTTCCAACCGTGTCACTTTCTCTTCCTTTTATCATTGCATTTCAAAAAGAGTTTTCATGCAGTCGCTTCAAGTTTTTATGTTAATCTGATATCTTGCTGTGGGTTTATAAGGCCAGGGAACGACAAAGAAGAGAGGAGCAAGAGCGTCTGGAAAGGGAAGCCGCTGAAGCTGAGAGGAAGAGGAAAGAGGAAGAAGAGGCTCGTGAGAGAGCGGCTCGTGAAGCTGCAGAAAGAGAGGCTGATTTAGCTAGAATCCGGCAGTTGAAAGCAATGTCACTTGGTCCTGAACCTGAAAAAGGGCCTAATGTTACACAGGTAATCTTCTACGTTCTCAACTTGTTTTCAGTTTTCATTATTTATGGAGTCCCCTGACTCGACTCACCTTTTCCTTTTTACATCTTGCTAATAAAGGGAGAACCTAATAATCAATCTTCTTGAATTTTCGGACCAACCAGGTTTTGGTGCGGTTCCCAGCTGGAGAACGCCGTGAAAGGAGGTTCCACAGTACCGCTACGATTCAAACTCTCTACGACTACGTCGATTCCTTGGGTTGTTTGGAGGTCGATACTTACAATCTGGTCTCCAACTTCCCTCGAGTTGTTTATGGTGCCGAGAAGCTCTCGTTGTCCTTGAAAGAAGCTGGACTGCATCCTCAGGCCAGTCTTTTTGTGGAGCTAACCTCTTGAAATCTCCAACTAGTAGTAGAACGGTTAAAATTAGTTGAAGATGAAAACTGTAAAAGCAAGATATAAGATATTTATAGTAGCCCTTGCTTGTTTCATTTTGATTAGAGTTCCTTTGATGACAGTATAAGCTCTCTGAATGTTTCAGGTTTATAGTAGTAGATGCATATTCAGTATAAATTAATGGTGGTTTTGGAATAATGACTTTAATTTTTTCTGTATTTGTAATTTTAGAATCTGGGTCACATTTGATATTTGATACGTGTTTATTTCTTTCTTTCTTTTTGGAAAAATAAAAAATAAAAATCTCTCATTTCTCTTTTGGCCGTTTTGCTCCCTCTCCCCCTTTGCAATCTCAATCTTGCCCACCGTACGAAGGTTTAGAGACTAAATTTATAATTTTTTTTCTTCCAAGTATTTATCATGTTTCTTATTTAAAAAATATAAAAATAGAAATGAAAACTGATTTTCGTTTTATTACTGTTGTGAGTTTAAATTACAAGTCAAATAGGTTCTAGAGTTTCAATTTTATGTCTAATAAGTCAAACTTTAAAACGTGTGAAATAGGTCCTTCAACTTTCAATTTTGAATCTAATAGATTCTTGAACTTTCGATTTTATGTCTAATAATTCTTAACCAATTTGACATTTATATAAAAAGTAGAGGACGTATTAGACACTTCGCACCTTAAAAATTGGACACCCTATTCAAACACAATTGAAACTTTAAAAATTTTTTAGAACCTCTCAAATATTTTAGACACCTTCTATATCCTATCCTCTCAATTATTTTTTTGAAAATTTTATATTTACATGTATCCAATTCTGTTTTACAAAAATGTTAATAGACTTTTATTAACATATTTACGTGGGTATATTTTTAAGAAATATCTTTGTAAATTTAAAGGGAACCTCAACTCTTTTTTAGGTTTGTTTAATAATGATTTGATTTTTAGTTTTCCATTTTAAAAAATTATGACGGCTTTCTCACACTTCTTTAGTATTATTTTCATATCTTTTATAAATACATTAAAATTTTTAGTCAAATTAGAAAAATAATAAATATAAAATTTTAAAAACTACTTTTCTTCTTAATTTGTATAAAATTTTGCATCATTTTTAAAATGTTGACACAAAACAAAGCAATTTGATAACCATTTTATTTTATTTTTTACAATCTAACTTATAAACACTATTCTCCCTCCTATATTTCTTTTGTTTTGCACCTGATTTTTTAAACTGTTTTCAAAATTTAAGCCAAATTTCAAATAGTTTTCAAAAATTTGTTTTTTTTTTTTTTTAATTTTTAACTTGGCTAAGAGTTTAAATGTGTTTTTAAAACGATGAATACATAATTTTAAAAAACAGAAAACTAAAAACGAAATAATTATCGACCTTAATTTTCAAAAACATAAACAAAAAATAAAAATAAGTTTTTAAAACTAATTTTTTCAGTTTTCAAAATTTTGGCTTAATTTCTGAAAACATTTCAAAAACTTTTATAGGAAAATAAATTAATGCAAAAGTGAAAATAGTATTTAGGAATTTGATTTTCAAAAACAGAAAACTTTATAAATAAATATGTTTTCTTAAAAATTAACTGTAAATATTAATTTTTTTTTAATTACAAACATTGCATTTTTAAAAAACTTACTGGCTTCGAAAATATTATTTAAATTCGGTGCCCAAAGTATGTTCTCAGGACGTGCCGAAACAAAATTAGAGTAAAAGTATATTGAAATAATTCTCTCCCATTTAAACTTTAATTCAAACTCCAAAGACGAGGCTACTTTTTAAAGAAAAAATATCACATTGACCAACCAATTAACAGTTAACACAATCTATATTTCTAAGTAAAAAAAAAAATTACCCTATAAATATAAAAATATAAAAATTTTCATTAAATTAATCTATCACTCTGAATAACAGATAATTATTCCTATCCTCATTCAATCTTATCCTTAAAGTTTTACCCTTCGAATTTTACTTTTAAAAATATCTTAGAGAATTTAAATTTCAAGAGTAAATCTGATATTTGATCATTTCAAAATGTTTGGGCTTCACATACCAATCCAGTCTAAGTTATTTTGTTTCAATTTTACCTCTTTAACTTTTTCTTCTTTTTTTATTACTTATTTTTGATTTCGCCCTCAACACAATAAAAGTCTCAATTACAGCAAAAATTACCAATAATTTTCTTTTATCAAATTAAACTATGAGAATAAAATTAAAACACACAAAAAATAAAATAGTAAACAGATCAGCTAATTAAGTCATATATCTCCAACTAAGATAGTAAGTTCGAATCTTCACTTGTTGTGTTAAAAAAATCACTAAACGTAAATTAATTAGTATATATATATATATATATATATATATATATATATATATATATATGAGACAATGACGTAAAACAACATTAAATGAACACATATTTTTAAATATACCAAAATATTTAAAATATTTAAAAGTTAGCCTAAATGAACACATATTTTTAAATATACCAAAATATTTAAAATATTTAAAAGTTAGCCTAATTCAAATCA